TCCAACCTGGCAAAAGGCATCTTATCCAAGATGCGAAAGATACCAAAAGCATGTGAGTTTCCCTATTGGTTCAGTTCAAATTAAGGATCTCTTTACCTTTTGACCTCACATGCTTATGCTTATGTATTTGACATTCCTTTATAATCTCTTACTAGATTTTGACCCGCCCTTTAAAAGAGCGGGTATATTTTTTTCAAAATAATATAATTTATCAGTTTTTAATTTGAATTTTATGTATATTCTTATCTCACTACATAATTTTATATTTCTTATGAATTTTATAAGAATTAAATTTGTTGATTTGGTGAGACATAAAATTTACTTGGCATATTTTAGACTAAATCAATAATATATATTTGCATGGGGTTTTAATAGTTTTTATAAATGTTTTGTATTCGATGCAGACCCGCGGTCGAACCGGTAAGTTCGGTGACCTGTATATAATATGGCTCAGATTTAGTTAAAATCTGATATTAAAAAACCAGATAAACCCGTAAAAATTACAAAGTCTATCACTAACCCGCAATCTGACACTGGTTGACCGGATAAATATACATATAAATCTGATTATATTTGTTTTAAAATGATTCATTTTTTGATTTTATTATGATTTTATTGGGACTCGAGATTATTTGAAACAATTGTAATTGATAAAATGTGTTATTTATAGTTATTAACAAAATGAAAAAAATGATTTAGTGGATTTCTATTATTATGGAACTGAAATGGTGATTACAAAATATATAGAATAATTGTAGTTTTTAATGTAATTTTTTTCTATGTTAGACTAAACTTATATCAATAAATCATGTTACTGTTTAAATAGTATTAATTTAGATTAGTTACTAAAAAAACTCGACAATAAAAATGTGAAAAAAAAAATCTAAATTGAACAAAGATAGGGTTTGAAAACAGTTTTAGGGTATAAGGTTAGAACACAAACTAAACAGAAGAAAAAAAATAATTGTATCGAATAAAGATAAGGTTTGAAAAGAATTTTAGGGTATAGGTATAGAGTTAAGACACAAACCAAACAAACTAGTGAAATCACAAAAACGAAATGAGTTTAAACAGTTGGACTATTATCTGTTATTTTGAGAGGGAATATATTAAATAAAAATAAAATAGGCTTAACGAGTCGGGTTTCTAAAAAAAATATATTTTGTAATTTTTTAAAATATTCAGGGACATGTTCATAAATATGCTTCTGCTTTAATAGTATATGTATATATATATATAATTCTGCTTCATTAATGATTAAGTACACGATTCCAGTCTCTCTCTCTATTGATCTTAGTGGTCAACATGATTTATTCACTAAACTACTCAAATCTCTCTTAATCTCTCTAATTAATCTATTTATTCTCTAAACATTATAGTTTGCTCGTACATTAGATCAGATAACATGTGGAACTAACAAGAAAGTCACATTCAGCCTGCATAGACCTTTTAAGAAAACAGTGAGAGCGTCTATGCATCAATGCTGTTGTTTGCAGGCGCTTCCGAACTTGAGTTATGGGAGGTACAATCATAACTCAAGTAAGTTTGTCACATTTGACAGATATCCATCTAATAGTATGTATTTATTTTGTTAGTTTTATTATAGAGAAAATGTCTAGAATAGCACTAAAATTTTTTTGTCACAAATATAACACTTAAATAAAAATGACCAAAATAATACATAATATTATATCAAAAGAGATAAATATATATCTATATTGCAATGATAAATTAATTTAGACATTAGTGTTTAGAATTTAGGGTTTAGGGTTTAGAATTTAGGGTTTAGAGTTGGGAAGTGGGGTTTTGGGGATAAGATTTCAATTTTTTGGAAAATAATTTTTTTAAAAAATTTTTTTTTTTAAAAAAAAGCTATTTTGTCATTTTAATTTTTGAGAGCTATATTTGTGACATAAACTTAGAAATATGATATTTTGAAGATTTGCCTTTTATTATAGAGAAAAAGACTAGAATAGCACTAAAAAAAGTTTTTGTCACAAATATAACACTTCAAAATAAAAATGACCAAAATAACACTTAATGTTTTATCAAAAGAGATAAATATACACATATATCTCGATGATAAATTAATTTAAACATTAGGGTTTAGAGTTAAAGGGTGGGTTTTAGGGTTTAGAGTTTATGATTTATGGTTTAGAATTTAGGTTTTAGGGTTTAGAGTTGGAGAGTGGAGTTTTGGAGATAAGATTTCAATTTTTGAAAAATAATAAAAATTTAAAAAATTTCAAAAGATAAAATGTTACGTTGGTCATTTTAGTTTTTGAAGGCTATTTTTGTAACATAAACTTAGAAATGTGTATTTTGGAGATTTGTCTTTTATTATATGTTAAAAATGTAAAAAGAATAATAAAATGTAAAAATAGTTTTGGTATCCCCCTATATATTAAAAGAGAAGTCACTTTAATGAATTATGCTTATGTGTCATTCATATGTGCAATATAGAATTAATTCTCTTAATTTGATTGGTTGTTGGCATTTGAATTTTTTTTTATTTATTTAAAGTTTTTAAAAGGAAAGTAATCCTAGAATTACCAAATCTAATATACATTACCAAACAAACAATTAATCATCTTAAATACATAGGATTAATAGAATTTGTTTATAGAAACAATTAAATATCACATATTTCATTATAAAATTTTAGAATATACATATAAATACATATTGTATTATAGAAATAAGTATATAAACGATTTTTAATTTTTTCTATTAATAGTGGATAAAAAATCATACATTACAGAAAACTAATAGTATTTTTATACTCACTCACTATATATATATATATGTATTCTTAAATATGTTCAATGAATGCAAAACAGTTAAATGTAAAATTTTAAAAAAATTCTATCATTTTCGAGAGATACCTCTATATATTAAAAGAGAAGTCACTTTAATGAATTTTGCTTACGTGTCATTCATATGTGCAATATATAATTAATTCTCTTAATTTGATTGGTTGTTGGCATTTGAATTTTTATTTATTTAATTAAAGTTTTTAAAAGGAAACTAATCCTAGAATTACCAAATCTCATATACATTACCAAACAAACAATTAATCATCTTAAATACATAGGATTAATAGAATTTGTTTATAGAAACAATTAAATATCACATTTTCCATTATAAAAATTTAGATTATACATATAAATACATATTATATTATAGAAATAAGTATATAAATGATTTTTTATTTTTTCTATTAATAGTGGATAAAAAATCATACATTACAGAAAACTAATAGTATTTTTATACTCACTCTTATATATATATGTATTCTTAAATATGTTCAATGAATGTAAAACAGTTAAATGTAAAATTTTAAAAAATTTCTATCATTTTCCAGAGATAAATGTCGATAGTATAGTTGAGTTATCACTTTCAAAAATTATTTAAGTACTTTTATATTTAAAACAGAAAACTATATGGTATGTCACTTAAAAAAAATATGAATAAACGAAACTTTTTTTATAATATAAAATTACAAAAAATCAAAACATTATATTAATACAAGACTAGAGATATTCTATTCATACAATTCATATAGCTTTAAGTATAATAAAATTGGCATGTTTATTTTTAATAAGAAAAAAAGAAAAGAGACATAAATAAAAACATGAGTGACAAATAATAAAACCTTTTGTTGTATTCTTCGTTATTTTGTATTTTTACATACATAATTTTTTATTTGTATACCAAAATATTTTTACCTATTAATATAATTGTAAACTAATTATTTTTAGGTGTTTATATAACATAAAAGAAAAAATTGAGCAAGGAGATAAATATAAATGATAAGTTATAAAATTTTTAATGTTGAAGATGCAAAATATAACGCAAATTAAATTTAAAATAATTATTTTAAAATAATGATAAGTATTTTTTCGGTGTAATAAACTTTTAAAATATATGATAACAAAGTTATAACAAAATTTATACAACTAGAAACATGTTATTTTGATATATTAAAACTGTTGAATCTCATGTTTATATTATTCTATGTCTAAAATAATGACATCACATCATTTAAGAATTAAGATATTTTATGTTATATAATTATTTAATCAAATTTACCTTTTTGAAATACAGTTATTTAGATTTACTTAAAATATGTATGTAATGAAGTAATTAAAAAAAATAATAAGATATTTATTTTTTCAATGAAAATCTTGGTCAAAAGAATCAATGTTTGATAAGATACTGTGAAGATTAGAGAGAATTTGATAATGAATTTATTTTGTTAGCCAATTGTGATTTTATATTAAATTCTAAATAAATAAATATGTAAGAAAGGGAGAAAGAGAGGGAGATATGGTGATAATAAGGATTAGAGAGTCGGTTATCATCATAATGAAGATGAAAATGAATATAAGTGAGAGACTGAATATAAGTGAGATAGATTCTGAAATCATTTATTAATACTATGTGAAAATGTTTTGAAGATTTAACAAAATCTGGTGAAAATTTTGCAACCAAAGAGAAATGGAAAGAGTTTTAAAGTGAAATACTGAGGATCATATTAAGAACGAGGGTAAGTGAATAAATATAGGATGATTATGAGAGAGTGAAAGTAAGTTGAGAGATTTTGAGATTATTTGATCAACTAAGAGAGAGAGAAAGAAAAAGAGAACGAGGAAGGTGTACAAAGCTATACAAAAATAATGTAAAGAGAGATACATACGAAACAAAACGAATGTGTGAAAATATACAAGGAGAAACGAAATGAGTAAGATAGAAAAATATATTAAAAACAGAGTATCTATTTAAAAGAAAAAGAAAGTTATAATATATTTATACATTTATATTATATTTTATTCATATAATGTATAAATTATATTAATGTCCGTATAGGCGTGCGGGCCGTCCACCTAATATAATCTAATATAATGTACATCCCACACTTAAACTAGTTTTAGTTATATATTATATAATCACATGCGCACATCTGGAACTTTCATTTGACAGAAATCTTCTACATATTTCACAAATTTCCATTTTACGGTAAATGGAAATAAATATCTTTTTTTCCCGATTGCTTCGTCATTAACTATTCCATTTCTCATATTTCTTCTTTCGTCATCTCTTCCCTTTCTCTCTCAACATTCCCATTTATCATATTCCTTCCCTATTCCATCGATCTTTCTCTCCGCTTTTATATACAGAACTCATCGGCCATCAATCCTTAGTCCCCGATCTATCAACGTTTTCGTTTCTTCGCTATTATCAGAGCACCCGATTAGATCTATAGATCGTGTTTTTGTTTCTCCAGGTATTGATTATGGCTTTGATTTATTAATTATATCACAGATCTGTGTAATTAGGTTTATAAATTAGGTATTTACTTGCGGTCACCGATTTTTTTTATGGGGTTTTTATTATTCAGATTACGACATCATGTCGGAAGAACACAGACTTCAGGAACCACGATTATGCGCTAACGATTGTGGGTTCTTCGGAAACACAGCTACGCAAAATCTCTGCTCTAAATGTTTTACAGATCTAAAGCACGAAAAGGAAAACTCCTCCACAGCCAAAAACGCCCTCAAGCAGACTCTCGCCGCCGTTTCTACTGGCTGTGTTGCTTCCTCCTCCCTATCCTCACCACCTCCTCCAGCGGATCTGACGTCAGATCTGAAAGAAGTCAACACAAAGAACCCAGAGAAAAGGTCAGCGACCAAGCCCGAGGAGGAGCAGAAGCCGGCCCAACAAGATCCGAAACGTTGTTTAACTTGCCGGCGGCGCGTGGGGATCACAGGTTTTAGGTGCCGTTGTGGGTTCGTGTTTTGTGGAAGCCATAGGTACGCAGAGCAGCACGAATGCACCTTCGATTTCAAGCGGGTCGGGAAGGAGAAGATCGCTAAGGCTAATCCGATTGTGAAAGCCGAGAAGCTCAAGAAGATCTGAAAGAATTGTATTGGGTGTAAATTTATCATCATCAGTTTAATCTTAATTTGATTTCTTCTCAGTTTGGCTATAAAATGATGCGTTCTTTAGATTCAATAAATTTTTAACCTGATATTAGTGAACAATCGAAGTTATACTATCAACGTAGTTGTGAATTAAGGTTTAAATTAACATTGGTTGACGATGAGAAGAAAAACTTGTTTCAAACGGCTAGAATTGGCTCGATAAATCATGGCGGAGCAGAACCCAAAAAACGTGCTAGCCACATGTCTTATACTCGTGTGCTAATTTTGTGGTCATAGAATCATAGGGTATTTGACATGTTCCACCAAGTGTGTCTTTGTAGTGACCATTCATAAAACCAAATCCAATGTTGGGGTCAAAAATGAGCTAGAATTATTACTTAGAAAGAATCCTCTCGAAAATTATTTCAGAAAAACGACTTGATACCATATGGCGACTGGTATGGACAAATCACAATCGCCATATATGGCCACTAATTCGTCTCGATCGCCATATGGTGATTGGTCCAACACCGGACTCGGTCGCCATATTGCGACCGATTCGTCTCAAACCCGGTCGTCATGGTGATTCAACTCAAAGCCCGATTATGTGATGTTTGGATAGTCCCCTTAGAAATCTCAACTGGACTGGTTCGTCTCAATCGAAACCATCTTTGGATCTTTATGACAAAAACCATGAAGGTTCTTTTCTTCATACAATATCGGATCGATCATATGAAGCGGCAACGGTTAGTCGAAACATCAGCCTTGCGGTCGATCCAAACTCGTAACTCTCATAAAACGCCTAAGGCAAAAGAACGGCTAAAACTAGGCATAAACCGCAGCCAGAAGCCCACTTACGACTTTAGACGAGAATGACCCCAAAGCGGCTATGACGGTCTATCCAATGTTCGCGTAAGAGGATAAATGTTAAATTTTCAAAGATAAATGGAAAAATCGAGGAATAAGAAAAAATTCCTTAAGAAGATAAACTCTGGCCCAAAGGCGAGAAAGGTGGAAGGTGGCCGACTCCACAGATGTATATAAGGAGAGCTGAGAGGGAGAGGAAATGGAAAAGGGAGATATTTTTAGACCTAGAGAACCTTCGTTAGCTTAGACGAATTTCAGACATAGGCAGCTAGACTAGCAAGTCATAGACTATGAACGTTTTGTTGCTTTAGCTCTGTGATTCTCTTTGTTAAGAAGTCTCAAATCTCTTCATTCATTCATCGATATCTTGTAACTATATTCATCGTTATCAATAAAGCCTCTGCGCAATTCGTACTTGATATTCTCTTTATCTTTTTCGTGTGTTTCTTTGCAGAGATCTGAAACCTTTTGGGAAATTAGGGTTTTGCTAGTGTTCCTAATTCGACGGAAATTGACATTGCGAATTTCGGTTCTCACAGTTTGGCGCTAGAGGGAGGGTGGTCGGATTCTCTAACTCACTACTAAAAAACGTGTATTAATAGCAGAAGATGATAGCAGTGTTTTCTAAAGTGATATGGAGACTCAAATTTGTGTTTTTGGTTTATGTTAATAGCAGTGAAAAATGCTATTTGTCGAAAATTAGTGAGCGGCAATCGAAAATTACTTATACCGCGCATACTTAGCGAAAAAAAATATAAGCGCCAATGTTACTTCGGTTTTCCCTCTTAACAAAACTCATTTTCTTTAAGTAAGTTTGTGAAAAAAACGACAAAACTGAAAAAAAAAACCAAACACTCTCTCTCGAGCATCTCAACTCGATTTGGCTCAAAGAGGAACTTGATTTTCCCCTTCTCATATCGATTTCAAGGTCTAATCCCTTATCATCTCTATTTAGATTTTGATATCAACTCCCTCGTTTCATCTCGCTTTCGGGTTTGATTCTCATCCCGAGTTGGGTTTGATTCTCATCCCGGTTGGGGTTTATTTTTAGAGATTTAGGGTTTGTTTGAAGCTTTGTTTCAGTTTGTGGTTAAAATCAAGCTTCGTTTCAGTTCTAGGGTTTGCTGAAATCTGACATTAAGATTAGTATACTTAGGGTTTCCTCTATTTTAAGCACTGTTTCAGTTTTGAGTTATTAATTTTAATTTCTTTCATATTCTTAACAGATCTCTCTTCTCTTCCGGGTCAATCAAGCACCGCAAGACATAGTTAGCTCTTTAACCACATGACATCGTTATCTCTTTCCCAAAAGACAGGTTGTTACCTTCGTTCAATCTAGTTGTTGTAAGTAGTTATTAGATTACTTTAGTGATAATTGAGCTATATATGTTTGATTCGTGTGGTTTGCTTGTCACTGGTATATGTTTGATTCGTGTGGTTTGCTTGTTACTGATTTATCTTTAAGTGATGTGTTTTTATGCTTTGTTTGACTAGTATTCAGAATTTGTGTTATGTGTGTGTTTCTTCTTGTGTTTGTAATTATCGGCTTTATTAAAGGAAAGATCATACAATGTTGGAGAAGGCGTGGGTTAATCTATCTAGGTATGAAATTTCTTTAACATATATATATATATAAAGTTTCTGTTGACTTTGGACACTTGAATGATTTATTTCTTTTCTTTTAACTTCAGAGTTGATCCTGCTTATGAAAAGGGTGCTTGGTGCTTTGTCCGAGCTGTTTCTGCGGGTAAAGAAGATAGCCAGTTGATCATTTGTCCGTGTAAAGACTGTCGCAACGTAGATCGTCATTCAGCCACTGATGTAGTTGATCACCTTGTCAGACGGGGAATGGATGAGGATTACAAACGGCGTAATGACTGGTATCATCATGGAGAATTGAGCTCAGTGGCGGCATCACAGGGGATGAACAAAAATCAGATGAATGAAGAGATTGTTGGGTTATACAGAGCTGCTGAGACTAAATATGGTTGTTCTGACTTATGCGAGATGGAAGATGTAGAGGATAGGGAAGAAGATGAGTTCTTGGCCAAGATAGCAGACGCCGAAACACCATTATATCCACATTGTACAAACCATAGCAAGCTATCTGCCATTGTGTCATTATTTAGGCTGAAGACTCAGAATGGCTGGACAGACAAGAGCTTCAATGATCTACCCGAGACACTTCTGGAGATGTTACCAGAGGAGAACGTACTTCATTCATCAGTGTACGATGTGAAGAAATTCTTGTAGACTTTCGATATCGGCTATGAAAAAATTCATGCATGTATCAACGATTTCTGCGTTTTCAGAAGACAGTTGAAGAACCTTGATAATTGTCCGAAGTGCAAGGCTTCAAGGTGGAAGATAAACATGCACACTGGTGAGGTGAAGAAAGGTGTCCCTCAGAAAGTATTAAGATACTTTCCAATCATTCCGAGTCTCAAGAGGATGTTTAGGTCTGAGAAAATGGCAAAAAACTTAAGGTGGCATTCTAGTAACCGTAGCACTGATGGGAAACTCAGACACCCTGTAGACTCAGTAACATGGAAACAAATGGATGACAAATATCCCTTATTTTCTGCTGAGGTAAGGAACATTCGGCTGGGACTTTCTACGGATGGATTTAATCCTTTCAGCATGCAGAACAGTAAGTACAGTTGTTGGCCTGTGTTGTTGGTAAACTATAACTTGCCTCCAAATCTGTGTATGAAGAAGGAGAATATCATGCTATCTTTGCTCATTCCTGGTCCACAGCAGCCTGGTAACAACTTTGATGTCTACTTAGAGCCCTTAGTAGAGGATCTAAACAAGTTATGGAGCATAGGAGAGGCGACTTATGATGTCCTTAGTAAGTATGTTTTTACTCTCAAGGCAATGCTTCTATGGACGATTAGTGATTTCCCTGCCTATGGGAATCTAGCTGGTTGCAAAGTGAAGAGGAAAATGGGATGTCCTGTATGCGGAAAGGACACAGATAGTATGTGGATGAAGTTCTGTAGGAAGCATGTTTATATGTCCCATAGAAAAGGTCTCCCACCAATGCATAGGTATCGGGTAAAGAAGACTTGGTTTGATGGAAAAGCTGAACATGGGAGGAAGTCTAGGATATTGTCGGGTCATGACATATCCAATAATCTGAAAAACTTTGAAAACAATTTTGGGAAAGGCAAAGAAACTGGTACGAAGAGAAAAAAGACTGCCATTGTTGATGAAGAAAGAGATGTGGAAGATGTTTCTAGTGAATCTGAGGCAGAGGAAGAAGATGAAGTTGACGTTGAGGAGTTGTCTTTATGGAAGAAAAGATCAATTTTCTTTGAACTGCCATATTGGGAAGTAAATGTTATATTATAAACAATTTGCATTATGTTTTAAAGAAGTACAAAGTATGATTTATCTTATGATTTTATATTTTAATAGGAACTCCTGGTGAGGCATAACTTGGATGTGATGCATATAGAGCGAAATGTGGCGAATAGCGTTATCTCCACGTTGCTACACTGTGGGAAATCAAAAGATGGACTCAATACCCGTAAAGATCTAGAACACTTTGGTATTAGGAAGGATCTGCACCCCAGCATCAAAGGAAAAAGAACGTACCTGCCAGCAGCACCTTTGTCTTTGTCAAAGACTGAAAAAAAAGTCTTCTGCAAGCACCTTTTTGATTTCAAAGGACCTGACGGATATTGCTCCAATATATCAAGGAGCGTTTCATTAGAAGATTCCAAGGTATCAGGCCTCAAATCACATGACTACCATGTTCTGATGCAACAATTACTCCCAATTGCAATTAAAGGGTTACTACCAAAAGACCCTAGATTAGCTATACTACGGATGTGTGCCTTCTTCAACAGCCTTTGCCAGCGTGTTATTGATGTTGAGCAGATTTCAGCAATGGAAGCTGAAATTGTAGAAACACTTTGCATGTGTGAGAGATTCTTTCCACCAAGTTTCTTTGACAGAATGGTTCATCTGACAGTTCATCTAGGAAGGGAAGCTAGACTTTGTGGCCCAGTCCACTTCCATTGGATGTATCCTTTCGAGAGGTAACTGCTAGTTACTATCATATTTAGGTGTGTTTTGCAAAGTTGTCAAGTTTTGGCTTCAAATGGTTTGTCTACTATATTAGCCTATTAACATGTTTTATGTTGCCAGAAAAAGGCAGTAGAGCTGGTTGGTAGTGATAGTAATTCAACAAACCCAAGTGTAGATCCGCTTACAGCTCTTTTAGGACCTGATCATCCTGGTCATTTGAG